GCGGGTAGGGCGAGAGACCAGCTGAGGGGGGGGTAGGGTGAGAGACCAGCTGAGCGCAGAAGGGGGGTTGGCCAGGTTGATCCCGTTGAAAAAGGGAGCAGGCAGCACTGGCAGCTTTAGAGTAATGGAAGTAAAAGGGGGGGGAAGATGCTGATACAGAAACTCCGCTCTCCGCCCCCAGCCCCGCACCCTTCCCTAGCCCTACCTGAGGCCATGCTGATCCGGCCCTGTCACTGCCAGGGTGGCAGGAGGCCAGCAGAGCCAGGCTGGCTGGGACGCAGGGGATGAGCCTCCCAGGGGTGGGGAGAAGAAAGCGGCTTTGTGCTGCACCTGGGAGTGGACCAGGCTCTGGCTAAACATCCCTGCTGGGAGGGAATACAGTCACAGAGGCAGGCTGTGTGGCTGGGCGCCCTGCCTGCCCTGGAGTCGGGAGGACTCTCCACTCCTGCTGGCAGCCCGTTCAGGCAGGACCCTGCCTCCCAGCTGTAGCTTTGTGCCTAGAACTATAATGCTAAACTGGGAGCTGAAGGGGAGTCTCCCTTAGCTGTTAGCAGTATAGTGCTTTTGAACCTCTCCTAGCAGTTTTGAATCCATCCAGCAGAGGACAGTAGAGCTGTGAGCTCATTATACTACAGACATTCATAGCAGGAGCTTGCAATTTTCAGTCCCCTCTCCATGAGTAACTCTTGGTCTCCCCCAATGCTCCTGCTCAGAGTGCAAGCACCTATTCAGGGTTATCTCTGGGGTGACACCACTGACCTCAGTAGAATTTGGCCGGGCAATAATTTTGGCCCCCTGAAGTTTAAAACTCTTCATGGAGCCTTCCCGATCCGGGGTCAGATCCTCAGCTGGGGCAAATAGATGCGGCTTCATCAGCATGACTACGGCTAGAGCAGCCTGGGCCAGCCCTAGACTAAATGGCACCCCAGACAAGGAGGATCTTTGCCCCCTCACAGACCCCCCCATCTATGTCCCGCAGTCTCACCTTGTCTACACCTCTGTGGCCATCGACCTAAGTTACACAACTTCTGATGTACCAAAGTCAACGTGCTTCGTTAGGTCTGCTTACTAAGTCCACCCCTGTGCTTTGGAGGAGAACCACCTAAAACTCAGTCCTGGGCAATACATGGACCCCTCCTGGATGGATTGCTGCCCCTCGATCCAGCAGGAGTGCAGACTTGCCCTTAGACCGTCACCAAACATTTTGTGTTGAGCGGGGCAAAAGGAGTAATGGTATTTCTTTCCTATTGTTGCACAAGGAGGGGTACCTCTGGCCTCTCATTACAAATGTCCTTTATCAAGCAATACTTACATGGGCTCTTCAAACACAAGTTTGCTTTCGCACGTACAATAAAACAGGGTTCACAAAATCCCCACCGCACTCTCGCTTCACTTCTCTTTGTTGTTAGAGGGCACTGGCTGTGGCCACACCCTGCCCCGTATGTACCGTGAGGGTCTGGCTGGCTGACAGCTATCAGGTCCAAGGAGAAGGTGGTTCTCAACGCCTGGAGGATTCCACGCCAAGAAGTTCGGATATGTCTACCCAGCAGGGCAAAAGTCAAATTAAGCGATACAACTTCAGTCCTCCAACTCGCCACTACTTTGAAATAATGGCTTTCTGTGTAGACGCGCTCTGTGTTATTCTGAATTAACGCTGCTGCATAGACATAGCCTCAGTGACAAAGCCTCCCCATTTGGAACCCCTGAAACATGTCACCTTCAATATTCTCTTGTCACTGACAACAAAAACAGCCTCCTAGGCCACAGCCCATGTCGCCTGCCCCTAAATCGAGCCCTGAGAGCAGCTAGCTACTCCTGTGCTGGCCCTGCTCTCCGGCTCTGCAACTGCCCTTTGGAGCAAGGGCCATCGGGACGCTGCTCTGCAGCTCCTGGCCTGTCTCTCTGCTCCTGTGCCCGTTTCAGATCTTTGATGGACACCTCTTCTCTCCCCCCCCCTCCCAGTTCCTGTTCAACAGCAACGTTGGGGTGCTGGCAGCGTTCCCTAGCCCCAGCCAGTAAAAGGCACGCCCCCCTGAACCCAGACCCCCTTTCCAGTTGTTCTTTGGTTGCTCCTGCTTGCACAAGAGCTGCTGAGCATCTGATGCTGGGGAAGAGCAATGGGTGTAGCCTGTGTCAGAGGCAGATCATGGGGTAGCAGAGGGGAGGACATGGGGGTCAGCAAGGAGGCTGGAGAGGATGAGGATGGTGAGTGAGGGAGGGAGGAAGCAGTGATGAAGGGAAGGGGTCGGTGCCCCCTCCTGGAGGCGGAGGTCCCAGCCACAATGAATCCAGGGTGGGTGCCCCCAGACACCAGCCTCACGTGAACCCACTGGATCAGTCCCACCAGACCCAAGTGTGACGGCGCGTTGGGGGTCCCCCGTCTCCTGCACCCTGAAATGGCACAAACAGACTCCACCAGCCAGTGGAATTGAGGGTGGTTTATTGCTCCTCCAGGATACAGCACAGCACAGATGTAATCTGGTTACAGGAACTGGGGCTAAGAGGCCTCAGCGCCCCCCTTGAGATAGGGGAGTCCCAGGCCCCCTCCCCTGCTTTCCAGACAGGAACTAACTCTACCTCTCCCAGCCCTGCCCCCAGCCAGGGCAGCATCCACCTCCCTTTGTTTCTCCCCATGGGGGGTTGGCTGGTTCAACTGGTATGGTACCTTTGCATAGTGAGGTTTTCCCTGATGGGTCTTGCTCCAGACAGCAGAGGTCACCACAGCCCAGCAAGTCCCCCCACTACGTCACACCAAGCCACATGCTGAGTCCCACCGGATCCAGGGTCTGCCCTCAGGGATTCCAGAGAGGTAGGGATGGGGAGGGGAGGGAGGCCTGGGCGAGGAGGCAATGTGGAGCCCTACACCTCCCCTGGCCGGGCAGCTGAACCCGCACGGCCATTCCCAGTCCCCGGGACAGCTCCAATGGGACAATCTCTCCCCCACCCCACAGTGTGCTTATCGCACTGCCCCGAACTAATGCTCTGCCCCTCAGCAGAGAGCAAGGAACCCAGGACACAAATGAAGAACCAGGATAGAGAGTCAGGGGCAAAGGTTAAAAATCTGGGCCCGGAGCAGAGACTCCCACTAGTGCCCTCCCCTCTCCCGGGCATCTCAGGAGTCAGTGGATGCTACTCAAAAGAACTGCACATGGAGACAACTGGGGAAAGAACCAGGCCCGGAGAGCCCCCATCCAGCTCTCTCCTGCAGGGAGGGTTCATCGTCTTGGCCAGCACCAGGAGGAGGCTGACCAGGTGCTCTGGAGACTCTGTGGGGCCACGGATGGGGCAGGTGTGGATGAGGAGGGGCGGGAAGAAGAGCAGCCAGGTTGTGCCTGGCTAGAGCAGGGGGGCTGGACTTGACCTCCTGAGGTCTCTTCCAGTTCTATGGTCAGCAAGAGGTGCTGGAGCAGGCAGAAGCAGGACAGCAGCCCAGCACACTCTGCATAGGTGTGCACCGTGGCCTCCCTCCCACCATTCTAGGAGCCACGGCAGACCCCCGCCCCCGCTGACGGCTCCAGCTAATACGCCCAGCGGGCTGTGGAACTAGGGCGGAGCATAGACCAGGGTTACTCAACACACAGCCCAAGGGCCACATGCAGCGTGTGGCCTGCAGAGCAGTTTGGGTTTACGTGGGGCTCCACTCACGGCCCATGGGTGGGAGTCAAAACAAACAAGGAATCAATAGAATGGTCTGTTGAGATGCGTGTTAGTCGTTAAATTCCTGGACTGTCACTGCTCATTAAAAGTGCTGGCATGCGGGTGGCATTTCGGTAGGATCCGCAGAACTGACAAACGGGGCCTGCGTGTCGTGTCGTCTTGCCGTAATCTTGTATTCATGCCCCTCAGTGTGAAAGAAGCTATTTGCATATATATATATTTGCATAAATATGCAACCACGCTTAAGTTGCAACCCTTGGCATGTGCTGTGAATGTCACTGTGTCCCTCGGGGCTTCCAAAGTTGAGTAACCCTGGCATAGACTGACCCCCCAGCAGTGTTTCTCAACCAGTGGTACGGGTACCCTTAGGGGGACTGGAGAGAAGTCTGCGGGGTACGTCAGCACCACTGAAATGTGGAGGAAACTGGATTTTTGTTTTAAGTTTTACAGCACTTGAAATTTTTGGGTGTAAAAAGTACAAAAATAATAATCGCCTGTCCAGCTACGATTAAGTTGTTTAAACAAATGTGTTGCAATGGTAGAAAAAATATGTGTGTCTCAAAGTACTGGGGGTACTATTTTTTTTGGAAAAAGGGGTACTTTATAAAAAAAAGATTGAGAAACACTGCACCAGAGCATCCACCCTCTACAGGTCTCTTGGCGTCAGGGAGAGACACAAGGACAGGAAATGGATGGTATGCATGGGTGCACTCTGGGAGCAGTTCAGAGACAGACTGGCTAGATGGCACTCAGACAATTCAGATGGGGGGGGTGCAACTGGGGAGGCTTGTGGTGTGTGACATTTTGAGGTTCAACCCAGACCACCAAGGGGATGCTGTGACGGCGCGTTGGGGGTCCCCCGTCTCCTGCACCCCGAAATGGCACAAACAGACTGCATCCGCCGGTGCAATAGAGGAAGTTTATTGCCTCTCCAGGATACAGCACAGCACAGATGTAATCTGGTCACAGAGCTGGGCTAGGATGCCTCAGGCCCCCTTGAGAGGGGGGAGACAAAGCCCCTAAACTCCAGCCCCTTTCCCTAGGCTGTCTCCTCCATGCTTCCAGCCAGCAACTAAC